CGCTACTAGTTCGAAACTAGTAGAGCTTTTTTCAGTATATTCACGTGAGTAACCCGCGATTTTAAGTATATGTAGAAAAAAACACATTTACAAAAAAAACATTTTTTGGTTAAACTTAAGTATGATTAGAACGGGGGTGATTGTGTATATTATTGACCTGGACAATTATATCATCGATAGTAAAGATAGAAGCTCGACATCTCCTATGGTGATGGGTGGCACAGTACCAGCGACTTTTGGGCCCCTTCGTCATTTGATGGTAAAAGTTGAATCCATTTATTGTTATTATTCGAGCTCCCCTTTTTGAAATCGAGTATACAGCCGCTGAAACAAAATACTATACAGCCACCTAGAGTACAATTTACATATAGTTCAATTAAATCTACTTTTATTTAACATATTGGATGCCGTATCGGACAATGATGTCCGACGCTAGCAGAGGCCTTATATTGGCCTTTAACAGTTTTTGTCGGCAGTTAAAGGCTTAAATATGTTTTTACTATTGTGAGATATACTGAATTAACTAAAAATTACGAGTTACCTATATATACAGAGAAAAGCTGCTCATGAGGAAGAGTCCCTCTGTGACTGGAAACTAGTAGAGCTCTCAGTATATTTGCGTGAGTAACTCATCATTTTTAGTTAATTCAATTCAGTATATTTTATGGCTTGCTCAAGTTACTGTTTGGCAAGGTAACTTGACTAGTTTCGAGCTAGACTAGGGGCTCATACTTATGAGCAGCATTGTGGGACAAAAACACGACGCGGTGATCGTAGAGCCGACTGCAGTTAAGACTTTGACTGCCAATAAAAAACTGTTGAAGGTAAATCCTCCGCTAACGCCGGTCACCGGTGACCCCCATGGCGTTTAACGTGATAATTACATTGGTAAAAATAAATAATGTAATGTCACAGGAGAGACAAAAGAAAGAAATATTTATGAATATATAGTCCTTTTATTTTGGTTATAATTATTTTTAGTTAAATTAAATTTCTATCACTTGGATGTGAGCACCCATCGTGTGCGTTATAGTTGTAGGGACATATGTATGATCTAAATAGTTAAATTGTCAATAAATCATATTTAATATTTTTCATGTGCTTTTAATCATTTGGCCAGGATCTATGAGTATAATTAGCATGAGCGTGATTATGTATGTTATTGGCCTTGACAATTGTATCATAGATTGTAAAGATAGATGCTCGACATCCCTTTTGATGATGAGTGGCACAGAACCAGCGACTTTTGGGTCCCCTCGTCGTTTGATGGTAGAACTTGAATCCATCTAGTGTTATTATTCGAGCCCCCCTCTTAGAATACGAGTATACAGCCGCTGAAAAGCAAAAACATAACTACCAAATCTTACTCATCTACCTATATTTTATAGTTATAGATACTTTCAGCGCTATAATTTTTTTAAATTAGGAGAATGTTAGCATTAAAATTATATGATTATAATAATCATTTTTATTTAAAAATATATTATTAATATTATTATAAAATATTTTAATCAGTCATCGTATATATTATGGTTACTTTTAACTACAAAACAAAAGGCAATCATATCTCTTGGAATTTAGCAAATGATGGCAGAAAAAATTAACAAGCGACGGTAGATAACTGAGCAAGTGATGGCAAAATAAATTTGCTACTGATGCCAAAAAACTTGTAAAATATAAGTTATTATACTACTATTTTATGCTACTATAGTACACAGACAACGTAACGTAAATACAGTTACAAGACCATATATTATATATATATATATGTATATTATTACATATTATTACAAGTGTATATATATATTATTATATATTATTACAAGTGTTGGGTACGATCAAGTAAGTTGTTTAATTAAGTTATCATTTAGTCAAAGTTAAATTTTTTTTATCAGTGATTGTGAATATTATTGACGCTAACAATGATATTCTCGACAGTGCATATAGATGCCCGACATTTCAGTTTTGTGTGAGAGGCACATAGCCAGCGACTCTTGCCTCCTGTTGTTTTTTGGTGAAAAAACCGGAATCCTCCTAGTACTATTATTCGGGCTCCTCTCTGAGAAGTTGAGTAACAAGCCACTGAAAAAATAAGAATATACTCTACAGTTACTTCTTACACATTTTATTGGAATTTTCTTGCGGATATCTACTACTAGCTTCTGCCCGCGACTTCGTACGCGTAATCCCATTTGTTCCCGTCCCCGTTCGTGATTTTATTTATTTATTTAAGTTTTATACAATTGCATAAGGAAGACTTAGCATTCTCTGCCAGTCATCCATTTTTCGGTAAAAAGTAAAAAAAAAATGTTGATTAAAAAGTATCCTATGTCAGTCTCCTGGCTCTAAGCTACCTCCCTACCAATTTTCAGCCAAATCTATTCTGCCGTTCTTGAGTTATAAGTGGTGTAACTAACACGACTTTCTTTTATATATAGGTATAGATATAAAAATAAGTCAGGTTTTCCTTCCTGACTCTATAAGGCCAGAACGCACGAACTGATTTCCACGGCTTTGCATTCGTTGGAAAGGTCCGTGAGGTCTATAAAATATAAAAAAAAAATGTTACTTCATTTTTAATCACCAAACGAAATGTTACATAAATCGAAGCCATCTGGTGGCAAAACGGAGTTCGCCGGGTTTGCTAGTAGCATATAATTTAATAGATAGGTACATATTTTGTATTTTTTTAAACGTTGCCCCACATTAGGATTTTCTCCTATGTCGTGGGTGCGTTTACAAACATACAAGTTCACATACACAATGACACCCAGACCCGAAACAGTAATTTGTGGATCACACAGTGTTGTTCCGTGCGGGAATCAACCCGTGATACGTTGCACGGCAGCCGGTTGCCCAGCCACCGCACCAACCGTGCAGTCATTTAATTACACAATTGTACAACACTTACTTGTTATATAGTTTTAATATAAAATATGTATACGACAGTTGCAATAATTCACATTACCATTTTTTGTCATGATGAGAATATCATTTTATTATTTTAAATAACATAGGTAATGAAATAGTGACTACATTTTTAAAAAATAAAATACGGAACTCGTGTTTATAAATCTTTATTAAAGTAATTTTATCACACAGTGATAATGGCATGCTATCACTTACAACTAAAAGCTTCACCTAACTTCAATGGTCGAGAGAACCCTATGGGTGGTTTTATAGTCGTGCTGACGACTCGTTAGGTCAGCGCTGATGGGATGATATATATAAAATTATAGGAAGCGTTTTTGAATAATGCGTATATACCTATCAACGCGCACGGTGGTCATACACCTCGGCTGTCAGCGCTGATCACCAAATTCATACACCTCGGCTGTCAGCGCTGATCACCAAATTCATACACCTCCGCTGTCAGCGCTGACGGTCAGCGTACGGTCAGCGCGACACTAAAACCATCCTTAGGCCAACTGTGACCAATGGTTTGATGATAATGATTAAGATGGACTATTCATTATGCATATGCAAGTTATTAATCTTGACGATTTCTTCTCTTACAGTGAATAGGGCGGCTTTGCAGCCTTTATTCCGGTGCGTAGCGCAGTACCACCTAGTCTTGTCTTCCGTACCGTAATGCCGTAGAAATTTGAACCCTTCCACTACGATCATACGAGCTCCTTTTGATGAGTAGGTGAAGTATACTGTGACAAAAAAATAACTATTTTTGGTCTGCCAAGGCTCTCTATACTATTATAATTTATTTTATTTACACGTATGTTGAGACTGGCATACTATTAAAATTGATATCCAAAAATAGGAAACAATCTGTTCACAAGGCTGACTACATGGTGTATACAATTAAAACGAACAAACAATATTACTACAAAAGTTTATACATACGTTAATAATAAACAAAAACCACACAATTGAATACTTTAATACGCTACAGTATAAAGGCTCCATTATGTTTATTTTTTTTTTTGTAATGTTGTTAGGTTGTGAAATCCTGCTCACAAATATGAGCCCCTGGCGTGGCTTGAAACCAGTCGAGATCAAACAAGTTTCTCAAACAGTTACGTGAGTAATTTGTTAGTCTTATTTAGTCGAATTATATGGCTCATTGCTTTTCTATTACAATAAGTCACAACTTGAGAAAGCAAATCTTATTTAAAAAAATGTTACAACATACATTACAACAGAGTTCTATCAAAACCAAATTTATGTATGATCAATATAGAAAAAAAAAAACGAATACTAAATAAAATGGCTTATGTATGAGGCATAAAAAGTAAAAAGAAATACATAAGGCCCGAAAACTTAAAAGTAAATAAGGAAATTAGTAAATACCCTTAACACTATAGTCTAAAGCTGTCATATATAAAGGCCATGTCAGTACATTAACTCCTATATCTTAATCACTATTAGAATAGTCTAAAATCCATTAATTGAAATATACGGCTTAATCATGTGTATATATTTTTTATACAACATGTAACTTAAATAACGCACATCCTGAAAATATTTTGTTCAGAATCGTTAACTGAATCAATTTATATAATTTTTAGTATAGGTAATTTTTTATCCCAAAAATAATTAAAACTACGGAAATATTATCATATTAACCCTGCATTGTTAAACCAAATCGAAATGGAGTAAGAGTAAGTCAAAGCAATAAGACTTTTAAAATCGTAGTTTTATTTGTATTCATACAAATTCTATCATTCAATACAAAATAAAGAAAAATAAACCTTATGACAAGACCAGTAAGGATGCATATACATGTTAAATTAAAAATTTTGTGTATGTATTATGATTATACCATAATATTCTAATTGGGGTATTTGAGGGTGTGCGTTAATTACGTTACATGTTGTATATTGTATAATCATTACTCGACAGAAGCTCGATCCGCGCACGGTGTTCAATTGCTCACGAATATAAGCCCCGGCGTCACTTCAAACATGTAAAGAATGTCTTGAATAGTTCTCGCGAGTAATCTATATATTTCAACGACATGATTTAATATTTTCCACGGTACATAATCAATTTGACACCAACTTGGGGTTATGATTATGTATATTATGAACTTTAACGAGTGTATCGTTAACAGTGAATAATACTGCTTTACACCCAGACTTGTAATCTGTGGCGCAATACCAGCGGGTCTTAATTCCTGAGTCCAAATGTCGACGGAACATGTATCCTTGCAACCATAAGCATTTCGCTCCTCTTCGAGACACGGTGAAAATTGGTTCATCTGTGGAAGTTAAATTTTAATATAAAATTTACAAGTGTAATACTATTGTGTTAAGTATAATTTATATTGAGTTTCAGTTTTGAAGTAAACGAAGATTAATTTAGCTGTGTTCCCTAATCAAATTATTTTCTATATTTATAAAATCCTTATTATCAAGTGACAGATAAATAACTGGTTTAAAAAGTTCGTCATGAAGATTACTCGGGAAATACAAAGGAGGATTTTTAGACAAGTTAGTTTAGTAACAAAGTCTTAGGGCTTAAGTTCACAGATTTCGTGGATATGGCATTTGGCTACCAGTTCCTAGGTGATTAGCCATACTTTTAGGATACCTAAATCCATTGTCTTATCTCCCACCTATATTGTCGTAGAAGAGTATAAACACTAATGAAACACGATCGTCTATAAAACATTTATTATAGTCAATATCAGTAAAAACATTATATACAGATCAAAAAAGTAATAGGTACACATTCTAAAATAAATACTAAAAGTAATATACAAAAGAGTATAATATAAGAAATTCATACTAAATGTTTTGTATAATTTATTCTACTATCGGTGGTGTATTACAAATAACTATTACAAAGGAATATACATAATTAATGTGACGTCAAATATATTTTTAACCTCCTTCAAAAAAGAGGTTCTTATTTTGACTTGTATGTATGTTTGTCCACAATTATCTCGCGTTTGACTGACCCGATTTTGATGCGGATTCAGAAAAGTATTTGTTACACTTAGGAGAAGGGTTTAAACTGTCAAACACCAAGCGGTCACCGGTGACCGCAACCTATTGTTTTTTAATTGTGTCTATAAATACGGTACTCGACGAGTTAATATTTTATAGTTATAATAATTCATATAATTTAATAAATAACAAAGAAAGTTAACGTAAGAATAAGAAAAATGCATTGACACGCATTTTATCCCCGAGGGGTAGGCGGAGGTTCACATTATGGCACTTAATGCCACTGTACAATGTAACACTCACTTTTCACTATTTAATTTGATAGTTATAAGAGAAAATATACAATGTGCCAAAAAAGCCCTAACATGACAAAATCGTGACAAAATTTAAAAAAAACACGAGTATACATCGATTACATAGAGTATATTATCCGACCAAAATCCATAGACCGCATCATCGCTTACCACCAGGCGAGATAGTGGCCAAACCCATCAAATATACAAAAAATACATTCATTAGGTATCCACATGAATCCTCCAAATATGGTGATTGTCTTCCGAATCCTTCAAGTCTGTCATCACCATTTTGTTGGTGGTGGGTGATTATGTTCGGTGTAACACTTGACAATCGTTTGATCTATTGTATATATAGCTGCTTTGCATTTAGCGTGACGCTGTTTTGAGCATTGCCAACGAATCTTATGACCTCTCACTTTGTGTCGCGTGAATTTATACCCTCTGAAAGAGAGAAATCGACCCTCTTCATATATTACGGAATGATCTGTAAAGTTATTCATATATTAGTGTCTAAAGTAGGTAGTATAATGATTTGATAAGATATAATTTTGTGGTTGTTACCAAAAATCCTTTGTGTTTCTAGTTTACGGATGTCGTCTACCATAAAATCCGTATTATGGATATGATTTTTTTATATTATATAAGACTGTACTTGACTGTTGTGTATAGGGAGGTGTAAAAGGTTATTATTTGTTTAAAGTATTTAATGATGAATACACACATTATAATAATGATAATCATAAATAATTAATAATACATCTTAGTTGTACTACTAAAGTTTAAGTTTACGCACACACAATCACACATGATAATAAAAATGTAAATAAATAAATGAAAAACAATTCATGTTTTGATTCCAAACACCATTTTTTTCTCGTAGACAAGCAGTTTCTGCATTTAGTTTAAAACTTTGTCGTTACCTAAAATAATTATGAGATTACACAAAAATTTCATATCACAAAAAAATCAACTACTATGTAGTACCTACTCTATTAATATAATCTTTTTTTTATATTCCAAAATCACATAATTTATAGTATCACAAAAAAGTAAGTATCTAAACAACTATATTTTTTTTCCAAACTTAAGTGTAATAAAATTAATACAAGATTTTTATCTCCAAACTAATTTTAGAAGAATAAATACCTTCAAATTGTATAATACTGCATGGTTATAATTCACACATAGTTTTATATTATTTAATATGCATAAATAATATTAAATAATATAAAACTATGTGTGATATATATTAAATAATATAAAACTATATATAATTATATTTAAGGTATATAATCACAAGAAGCGAAATTATATTAAAGCTGCGAATGATCGACAATGATAAAAATTACAATCCACATAATGTTAATAAACTACTACCTAAAAGACTAGCAAGTTTTTGTATCGACTTATTTCATAAATATATACTATTACTGTAGGCCTTCATTAATATAATCCTACACCTAACATATAATCGCATCATTACAATAAAAATTCATAACTTTCAAGAAGTTATTTTAAAATTAAAGAATTAGGCCATGCGCGTACGCATTATAAATGAGACCCAATTACCCCTAACCCCATCCCCAATCTCCCCAATCCCTGAATCCGTAACGATCCTTAAACGCCTAGTTTGATTTCCCCAAAAGGCCAATTACGCAATTGTAACGCCTCTGGCGTTCCAGGTGTCTATGGGCGACGCCAAATGCTTATCATCAGGTGATCCGCTTGTTTACCGGCTTATAAGGTAGCCGCAAGGTTTACAGAAAAGCGCGCGCACACGCGACATGAAAGTTATGTATGCGGTTTATTTAACGCGCGATAAAAGTTGCAATGCGCGCTTACGGTTAGCATTATATGACGCTGCTTTAAGCAATATACTTTTCTGCACACACATGTATAGAAAAGAAGCATTCCATACACATGGGAGGACTACCAGCGCACTCTGTGCATTGCATTGTAGTTCTAACTGACTTTCTTTTAGAAGAGCAATTTCTACAGTTCTTTCGTATTGTTCTGACTGATTTACGCCTACCTCCCGTTTTCCTGAGCAAAGGGGTACGACCTAACTTCGTCAAAATGTGACTCTTTTGGAAATATATCGTGGAATATTCCTCTGTCATTGCTCTTAAGCGAGTGTTAACTATCAGCTGTCTCTGATTATTCTGAACTGGTTTGTCATCATCATCTTCATCATCACTAGTTTCATTGACATATATCTTCACACTGTCTTGCGGTGACATACTATTGACCTCTGTAACGAAGAACATTTATTTTATTTCTGATCTTAAAAGTTAAATTTAGGTTTCTATATCACTATGCCTTATGGTTCTTATGGTCCTATTAAAACAACATTAAAAAAGTCAAGTCTCAATAACGCCACATCGATAACTAAAAAATGAAAACTTACCTAAATGAATGAAACACATGAATTAAAATCGAATAAATAATTCATTTATAACACAATAGATATTCGAGTACAATATGCAACAAGATGAACACATTTTAAGACACTTAAATTCACTTTTATGAATTACAATTAATTGTATAAATAGCAATAATTTCAAACAGTAAATACAAGTCAGGTGTGTTCGACACAATAATATTTGTTTTTATTTACAAAACATTGACTTTGGACTAAGAGTCTTAGTACTCGTTAGAGTCTGAGTACTTCTGCCCCTTTAAAATAGCGATTGTTCAGCGTAAGGGTCCGTAAGGGATAAATGGTAAATACATGAGACGGTGAGAGTAAGGAAAAATTGAATAACAGCCGATGTACCCTCTGCCACTGTCAAATAGCCACAACTGTATCTAAAAATAAATCGTGCTTCCCAAAACCCATTTCTTAAATCTTTTTTTTTTTTTTTTTTTTTTTTTTTTTTTTTTTTTTTTTTTTTTTTTTTTTTTTTAAACGTTGCCCCACACTAGGATTTTCTCCTGTGTTGTGGGTGCGTTTACAAACATACAAGTTCACATACACATGACACCCAGACCCGGAACAACAATCTGTGGATCACACAAAGAGTTGTTCCGTGCGGGAATCGAACCCGCGACACGTTGCGCGGCAGCCAGTTGCCCAGCCACCGCGCCAACCGTGCAGTCAATCTATAATGAACTTATCATTTATTTTCCTATACACTCAAATAAAAATAGTCGCAGGTGTCTTTATGATTCTATCTTATAAATTAAGTAAAAATATATCACTAAAGAGATAATTTCACAGAAATGGAGATAGACTATATTTTAAGGAGCGCTTTGGACGGAGCTGCGGGCGACATAACAGGTGCCATGGCTCGAGCTTGAAGTAGGAGTAGGAAAGAGGTGGTTTTTAGTCAGTAAGAGAGAGAGAGAGAGAGTTTTAACTCTCTCGCCTCGTTCAAGGCGGGAGAAGTCCTTGGATGATCCCCTAAAGAAAGAGACACTTAGGACCCCAATAGACGGAAAAAGAAAAAGGGGAACACAACCCAACTTTTCTGGTAGTGTCTTCCCATCTTTGGCAAGATGAGTACAAACTTACAGTTTGGTCTTACTGGAGAAGAGTCACCAGAGAAAGAAAACGATGGAACACCCTAGAGGAAGTCTTTAAAGAAAGGCACATTGAACTTAGTGATTATCCTTTACAAAAAGGATAGCTTTTATAGCAAATAATTTAAAGATAATTTGCTGCCCCTGGTCCTAATGATTATGCATGTTCTTCATCTTGCATACTACATTGTCTATAGTGCAGATAGTTGCTCGGCATTTGTAGGAACAGTGTCGTGAGCATCGCCATGTACTCTTGTCATTCCTGGTGTACTTCAAATGATATGTATACCCACGGTGCATCAGCATCATGTTGCCATGCTTTGACATTAAACACATTGGTGAGTCATAGGCTGAAAAAAAAAACAAAATGGTTACTTCAGACTCTTAGAAAAAAATTTGATAATTTTTTTATTTGAGTGGCATGCAAATTGTTGAATGGAATCCCATAAACGGTGACCGCCAAGCTATTTATTCGGCTTACAAGCCATTGACCGTAAATGTAATAAAACAACATACTCATTTAATGTCATCCATTATTTAATTTTAGAATATCCAATACCTAATCAGTAATATGTTTCATAAATTATTTATATAACCATAATAAAATTTTTGAGGTACATTGTGGTGTACTTGTAAACAAATATTATTTTCTTTAAATCTAAGAATAGTGATGATCCAATTGGCTTCAAAAGTAATCTGGGTTACCGTCGCCGTCGATGTTTTGGTGTAATGTAATGATTTTCTGCTTCTTCTGAGATTTGCCGAATTCACTCGTTAGAATCGCTAAAATTAAAGAAATTGTCATATTTTTATAGCACATTTAAACACCGTATGACAATATAATACATAACTTTTGCAGCATTACATGTATATTGTCATATTCTGTACTAATACTGTTGGCAAAATCCGATCACATCTTCGATCTTATAGGAATATCAGGATAAAAATATGTCATTTTAACTTCCTAAACAAATTAAAATAGTACCTAATTCTTTGAATTTGTATCTTACGACTTCAAAAAATTAGGTTTTATGTTCGGATGATTCTTTTATTTAAATCGGTATCATAGTTTTGGTACTTATTCAATGTAAACAAAAATCAAATCTATTTTTCAATAGGGTCTACCATATGTTTACTTAGTAGATGGCGATGATGTGAATCTTTAATATATATATTATGTCCAATATAGAATTATCTAATGTCACACACACCACTGAACTTTCAATTAGTGCCAACTGCTGTTTGAACGATAGCCCTCATTATATTTTTGTATTACGACACCAAATATTTTATTATAATTCTGACACTTACCTACTTGTATTATCATTTTCAACTTCGATAAACTGATAAGCTTCTCTTTTTTCTATATGAATGTTATGTTTCGCGCTCAAGTGCTTCCGCAGGCCAGTTGTGGTACCACCGCTACAACAGAGAATATTTTGGCAAATATTACACTGAGCGCAATTCTTGTCGCTATTCCTGGAGTAATATTTCCACACTGAAGAGAGCGTCGAAGGAGTCCTCTTCGTTGGTTTATATGAAAACTCCATATCTGATTAGACAAAGGAATAATTAGTTTAAATCAAAGAAAGATATAAAATAGAATCACGCCTATTCATCCCTTGGACTCGAAGATTCAATAATTAAATAGTCACCGCTCCGTCTGGAGTATTAAGGTACATCGAGGATAGTGCAAATTCCCAGAACTAGCATTTTACAATACCGCGTATCTGACAAATGTAGCTGATTCAAGTGGTGAAAAAATCACGCAAAGTCTTAATTGGCTGCCACCACCTTGACACGAGTTCATTTCGACTCATTTTTAATATGAAAAAATAAGCTTGAAACTCATTGTAAGGTTTTTTTAATAAGGGACAAGCCCGCCACAACCTCCCAAAACTGCTGCAACTTCTGTAAGCCAGGATCTACAGTAGATACAACCATTAAATCACTGGAACACAGAAGACCAGCGCGTCCCAGGGACATGAGTAACTGTCTTGGTTCCCGCAACGAAGTGAATCAGAATATATTATAAGAGAAGAAAAAAAACGATAGTTTCCACTTTCCTCGGTGAATCAGTGCAGGAGACAGAATGAATTAAGGTTAAAGGCACAAAAAAGAGACTGTACAACTGGATAAAGCCCAGTCGCCAAGCACCACGGAAATTTGACTAAAATCTAAGTAGGTCTTATGTGTGAGGTGTTATACTATCATATTATTGTAATGTTATTAAATTTGAACCTTCCCTTGTTAAACTGGATTTATTGCAGATACGCGGCCTTTACATATGATGGTAGATTCGCGGATTTGCACTTTCCTCGACGATAAGTAAAGTCGAAACAAGTAAAGCTTTTCTCAGTATGTTTACGTGAGTAACTTGTATTTTTTTAGTTAACAAGTAAAGTTGTTCTTTTTATTTTAATAATTGGACCTTCACATGAAACAATTCGACTTTACGCCTGTAAAATTGACTCTACTTAAATAAGAATCTAGTAACCAGGTAACTACGTATTTTTTATAAAAATCGCTGTAATTTAATTGCGACTTTGTCTTTGTAGACAATTATAAGTATGACATTATTTTCTCGTTTAAGGTACTTACTTTCGATATCACATTTATTCCAGATATTTCTCTTAATCAGGTTTACTTCTATACTATGTGTTTTTTTTAAATGATATCTTAGACTTGCTGTAGATCCACATTTTAGAACCTTTTTGCATAGTTTACACATTGCAAACTCCTTGCTTTCACTCCTCAGAAATTTATCCCACACTGCAGATGTTTCTCGACCTTTGTAGGTTGGCTTGAATTCAGTAAAAGTTAGTTCTTCAAAGTCTTAAACAAAGAAAGAAATAAACATGAACAAAATAAACATTAACAAATAAACACGAACAATTAAATATTAACATAATCAATAAGAAATTGGTAAATCTTAACTGATTGTATCAGTATCTTTATTTACAATAATAAAATAGTTTACACAATTTTATAATTATAAACTAAATTAATAATACAATTTAAAATGTACCTAACACCTTATAAAAATAAGATATACAATCGTTTAGTTGTAGATTAAAATCAATTTGTTTACTTATCATTTTAATTGACACACTAGCGTTCCTTTGAGCACTATGTACTTTCGCTTAAATGAATGTTATGTATCGCCGACAGATGTTTCCAAAGAGGTGACGTAGAACAACCACACTTTAACACTCGGGAGCACAGCTTACACTTAGCATGACGTTTCTCTTTACTTCTTAGAAAATGTAGCCATACACACGAATACGTCTTTCCTTCGCTTGTACCAAACTCTTCGAATAACATTACTGTAAAAAAATTAACATGTCACGTTACTATATTAATAATATGGTGGTAAAGGTGGTAAAAGTATTTTTTATACTGTATAGGTCGACGTTTGACCACCATCTCGCCTGATGGTAAGCGATAATGTCTAGCTGTTTTATACAACAAATAGGCCCGGTATAACCATGGAAGTAATACAACCGTTTCACAGAATACCAGCGAAGCATACGGCAGTGAACGAGCACCTGATGGGGAGCAATCGGCACCGTCGGCCTTTTAGAGATTTGAGGGTTGGAGATTAGGAAGAATGGGAGGAGGATTGGGTTTATAGTAGCCTTACCCGCACAGGGAAATACATGCGTAAAAGCGTAAGAGTATATAGTTTACAACGATTTGAAAGTTTTTACCGCCAGATTGTATTATAGTAAGAAAGAAAGAAGGAAGAAAGGAAGGATAAACACAAATGTATACAATACTTAGCAAGCACCTACTATCAGACGACAAAAATCGACTAAATGAGCGTCACTAATATCAATCTGTATTATCGGCAGCACTAGCTGTCACGTTGACGCTGTCATCTGTCAAATGTGACAGATTAGTAAAGTTTTCCCGCGCAAAGAGTTGTAACGTCCATTCGGTTTAGAAGATTTGATCGAGCATTACGCTGTTTCTTACAAAAATCTGTTTTGGAATAATTTTATCAGTATTTAAGTGTAGAGTTTTACTTAAAACTCCTCACATTATCAAGAATTTATTTCTACATTCACATCTGTGAATTAAAAAAATCTACAATTAAGTACAAATAAAAAAAAAGCTAAAAATCCACACCTTTATTAATTTTTTCGTAATTAATAATAATAAAATTAAGAAAATACAGCTAATATTTAAAATACATATAATCGGTTAAGTCAAAATATAACTGCACTTGTTTGCCCACAAAAGTTTACATAAATAACTTGTTTATCAACATTTCTTTAGGTATGTCCTCAGGACCTATATTATTGTTTATTAAGATATCTTATTCATATAGAGAGATACATGACTCCAAAAGTAATAAGATTCAAATTAAACCGTTCAACAATACACGTCTTATAAGAGACGATAACAGATCAAAATTTGCTTTATTTAATGACTTTGGGTAAGTCCATGGTAAAACTTATACAACTTAAGTAACAAACAAGTAAGATATAGAAAAACACTATAACTGAATATAAAAAAAATAACACACACTAAAAATGGCTTTTTATGTATGTGTTTAAAGACTAACTAAAGATTAAGTTCAATTAACTGATCTGATGTCAAGAAGTCAACTTTCTTAACCATTTAAAAGATATTACATAACATCACACCTTTTATCCCCGAAGGGGTAAGTAGAGGTGCACAATATGGCAGTTAATGCCAATGTACAATGTAACACCTACATATTACTATTTATGTTACGAGTCCCATGTAATAGGGGTTGAGCCTATTGCCATTTACCGGGCACAATTCCAGACTTCGTGCTATTACTGAGATTTTTTTTAAAAACCTAGTGTTGCTTTATTCGACCCGGGAATTGAACACGAGACCCCTTACCCGGCAGTCACACTTGCGACCGCTCGGCCAACGAGGCAGTCGTTACAAATTTGAAGTCGTTAAAAATATATACGAAAAAATCCCATCACCAATAAATTCTAACCTACTAAAAATCGCTTTCGTTCTGTGATACAAAAGGACTATATTACCATAGAAAAATATTAACGTAAGAAAAACAAATGACATCACTTTTCTTGGGATTATTCATTTTTGTTTTTGAGGAAAACAAACTGAATTGGTCCTGTAAAACCCTAGGCATATTGGCAACACCAGATGCTTAAGATCTTTTTGGTTAAGAAAAAGAATATTAAGATGTCACACCAAGATGTCACAACAAAGAATACGAGTCGAGAAAAAACGGTCACACAGAATCTTAAGTTAAGATTCAAGAGGATGAGGAATAATATGAAAGAAAAGGCAGTTTATGATGTGATGGCGTCTGATAAGGAAGGATAGTAGAAAATAGATAAGGACAGTAAAAAGAAAGAAACTGCGCCACCAATATGAATTACGTAAAAAATATGGTTGACATAAGAAAATGTTTTTGTGACTTTATAGAATAACTATGGTGAGACATATTAAATCAATTGAAAATATCGGTTTAGCCATATAAAATTATTGAGAAAAACTCTACTAGTTTCAAATCAGAGCGGGATTCTTATTCATGAGCAGGCTGCGGTGTCACAGCGTGCACGTGTAAGACTCTTGTTATGACTTGAAACTGGCAGACCTGTTCGCAGTTATTTCACGTGTGTAAATCGTTATTGTTAATTAATGTTTGTGACTTCTTTTTAGTCTTAGATAGCAATATAAAATGTTTGGGTTTCCTCTTCAACTTCCTCTCTTGGATTTTCGTTTGTCCAATTTCTCATAGGTTTGTGGTAGTGCTTGAACTTCTTTAGGACTATTTTGTTTTCTGACGTATGGAGCTTAGCTTTGCAGCCTTCTTTGTAGTGAGTGGAGCATGCCCATGTAGTAACTCGAGTGCTGTAGGTCCTCAAGCGTTGGTAAGAGTAACCATCCAAAAGAACATACTGTTCTCCCTCAGGAGAGTACACGTACTTTACAGTATTCGGACCTAAAAAACAAAATAAATCTTTTAGACATGGATCCAACCATTGGGACGTGACTACCAAAGACGTGTAAATGACAAATACGAAATAAAACAAGAATTCGAAAACATATTTAATAGGTAAAAACAAACATGACTTGGATTGGATAAATTCAATTTACCCACATACGACTCTTTAAATTTATTAACAAATAACTACGTGTTTCAAGATTTTGAGGACATAGAGCACAAATTTTGGCTATGTGCTACGAAATATACTTTTTTTTGCATAAGCGGGTAAACGAGCAGACGGATCACCTGATGGTAAGCAATCGGCGTCGCCCATGGGCACCTGGAACACCAGAGGCGTTACAAGTACGGTACCAGCCTTTTGGGGA